CAAGGAAATTAGAACACTTCAAATCCATGCTTCTCTGGGATTCTGTTCTGGTCCCCAGGAATTAGGGGCTTCCCCCCTGCTAGCCCTCCTCACTCTCTTTCTTGTGCTGGTTTCCCCCAGGGCTCATTCACACACTCTTAGCAGAGTTAGCAGAGGCTGTGATGATGAGAAACCCAACTGCCATCTTTGAGGTACTTCAGCTTTTGGACACTTCCAAATACTCTACATAAAAGCTTGGACCATCGAGCAAAACCCATACTTCATCACCTCAAATGCTCCTGGTCAAATTTCTTTACCATGGGGGACACTAAAGATACACCTCTGCACCCCACTGTAGTCACAACCATCTCTTGTGTTGGTGGTGACATTTTACTGGCAGTCAGAGGCCAAGATTCCATTTGTTCAGCTTTTTAAGAAAGGGCTCCCAGATTCCAGACGCACCAGCCAATTGCTAACCAGGCATACCCTGGATTTGGCCAAATGTTCGTGTGTGTGTGTGTGTGTGTGTGTATGTGTGTGTGTGTGTGTGTGTGTGTTCACATATGTACACGTACATGTTCGCACACAATCTTTCCTAATGATAACTAGAGAGATGAACTTGAATATTAGCAGTTCTCCACATTCTCTGGCAGCTGTTTTCTGGTAATCACCCTGGCCTCGAACTCTTGCTTTCCCCCCCTTGTGGCTCTTTTCTTGCTGATGGTTTAGCCCTAGTTGACTAATACTTGCAACCCAGCCTCTTCCTTGAGTTCCACCAACACAAGCCCATAAAACCCACTCATTCATGGAAGTTCATGGAAAAGGTTTGTAGTAGATTTGAAAGGGAGATGAAAGGGCTTGTATTTTGACAGTCCACACCTTCATGTGGGCATTTTGCTCCCTCCAATGCCTGGCCACTGAACCCCATGTGCAGCCCCAGCCCCTCTGGTTAGCTGCTGCCTTTCTTTGTCTTCTGCTCTTCTCCGTCCCTCTTCGTTGGCTGCTCCGTGTATCCATCCTTTTTTTGTTGTTAGTTGTCTGAAGCCGTTCACCCCTTCCAGGCCTCTACCCACAGTTAACTCCAGGGCATTTTCATCCTCAAACGCGCCAAGGATCTCACTGTGTTTCCTAAGAGCCACTCTCCTTAGAAGGCAGTTATGGTTTACACAGAA